AAAACATTTAAGAAAAAAAAAAAAAAAGAAATTTGTTCTAGGTCTGCACTCTTAGCAATATTGCCTAAATCCCAAGGTGGAGTATAGTACCACAAAAGCACAAAGGAAGAATTGTTCAATTTCACCTGGATAATCATGTAAGACCTTTGAGTTGGGATCAAAATAATATAATGTGCAGGCAGGAGTCATTATAGAGTGCATGTGTCCTCTGCACAAGGTGCAAATTAATTTATAAATTTGGAGAAGAGTAAATTCTTTATGAAGTCCTGGTGTAGCACTGTAGGATAAGCACTGGACTAGTAACTGCAAGTTTGGTGGTTCAAATCCACCAGCTGCTCCTTGGAAACTCTATACAGGGTTGCTAATGAGTTAAAACCCACTCAATGGCACTTAACTACAACAACAAATTCTTTATGGCTGTGAGAGGGTGTGAGAGGAACACATTTTTAAAGAGCATCAGAGATGATGCAAAGTAATTTGGATTTACACTCCATGAGCTTGGAGAAGTTATAAAAAGTTCACAAGCATGAAGTATATGAATGCTCGGATTTGAAAAATTAAATCTGAGAGCAAAAACGGGGACTAGTTAGGGACACCACAGAGAAGAAATTATATAATAATCACATATTATACATAAGCACAAACATACAACGGGGCTTTAGAAAGTTCATGGAAAATGGAATTAAAGATAATGGAATTTTTCCATGAACTTTTTGAAGCCCCCTCGCATTTCCTGAATAACATCTTACCTTTAACTTTATGGTTTTGATGTATCTTACACAAGTCTTACCTTTTTCTTCATGGCTGTATTTGGTAGCACCCACCTATAGATATAAACCAAAATAGTTTGCATGATTCAATTACTTGGAAATTGAATTAAAGATATACAAAAGAAACAAAGTACAGAGGAGTATATTTAATGCAAGTAGATCAGTGCAAGTGGGAGCTCAGTTGGTGTTGCTGTTAAGTGCCATCGAGTTGGTTCCAACTCATAGTTCGACCCTATAAAGGGTTTCCAAGGAGTGACTGGTGGGTTTGAACTACTGACCTTGTAGTTTAGCAGTTCAGTGCTTATCCTACAGTCCCACACCAGGACTCAGTTGAGTAAAGGCTCTTATTTTCTTTAATTATAAAACTGGGTTTATGCTCCCTACAGGGTCGCTATGAGTCGGAATCGACTCAAGGGCACTTAACAACAAGTCCCTAATTACTTGTTCAGGAGATATTTTATGGGAAGATTTGTTTAGATTTAAATAAGCCATTAAAATTCAAAATTATAAATAATCCATTAACATTTTCATCATTAAAAAAATAAATACTGTTCATATTTTAATAGCCTTTTAAAGTCAGCCTCTGATTTTTAAAACCTAGAAATATCTTTAGCTCTTCAGCCTTTTCAAGGCATATTTCACTCATCACAGGAATAAAAAAAAAAAAAAAAAAAAAGCCCATTTTTGTCCAGTCTGGTAAGACTCACAGCTTATCTATTGTAGCTGTTTTGTGCCATTGAGTTGGTTCCGACTCTATTTGTTGTAAGTAAATGCTCCGAGACGTAAATCTTTGTGAAAGCAAACTGTTTCATCTTTATCCTGGCGGATCTGTAGATGGGCTTATACTACTGATCTTTCAGTTAGCAGTCCAATACTTAACCCACTGTGTCACTAGGGCTCCTATCACAGATATAAAATACATAGATGGACTCAAGCGTGGCAACAGTAGTGAGGTTGGCCCAGGATGGGGCCGTGCTTCCTTCTGCTGTGCCTAAGGTCGCTATGAGTCAGTACCGACTTGATGGCACCTAACACCAACAATCCCCACTGCTGTGGAGAAAATTCCGAATCATAGAGACCCTGTAGGGCAGAGTAGAACTGCTCTATAGCATTTCCAAGGCTGTAAATCTTTATATAAAATAAGTCTCAAATTTAAATTGGCACAGAAAACACTCACAAACCACTGTTCTCTACCTCCTCTATTAGAACACCCCCTTCCTGAGGAATGTTTCTACTCAGCACCAATCCTCTTTACAGTTTAACCTTTTGTAAAGATCAAGAAACCAATCAACCTTACTGATAAATAGAAGCAATTTACCATTGGGCTCTAATTAACAACATTCTACTCTATTAAAACACCTTTTTCCTTCCGGATCTGTTATAAATAGGTTACACCCACCCAAGCGATCCCTCAGGTTTCCCAATTGGAGGATCCATTCTTGGCCCCAGATTCTCTTTCTCCGTTTTTTTCTCAGAGCCGGATTCTTCCATCATGCAACAAGTCCTTTTCAGTAGCTTCTATTTTCTCAGTACTTTTTCCCCCTTATTCACCCTCCTCAAACGCCAGTCCTCATTGCCGGTGGCACTTATGCCTGCTCCATTCTTGGCTCCGCCTTCGTCCACTGGGACAGGGGGTGGGGGCGTTTCTCTCAACGTTTATGGCCCTGAACTTGACCTCAAAGCAAGGCCCAGCTTGCCAGCGGTTCGATGGTGCAAAAGAACAGATAATGTAGGATGAGAGAAAAACAGGGAGGGGTCGACGAGTTTGGGACTCAGGCTCCAAGATCTCTAAGCCCAGAGGTGATTTCACCACTATACGGTGAGGACCACGAAGGCGGAGCTAGGGGAAAGAGCAGACCCGCGCAGCAGGCATCAAGCAGGGAACGCCTCAGCTGGCTAGTAGCTTCTGATCCTGGTAGCCCAGGATCTAACCGGCGGCGGCAGTGGTCACAACTTAACAGCTGACCCCCTTCAGGATCCCAAGTACCCGGCTGCACGCCAGCATCATGTGGGCACTTGCCGCAAGCCCTGAGAAAGTCACGTGACTTCATTACCCTAGGGGCGGGTGAACCTGGGTGAATACCATAGAGACTGTTCCGGGGAAAGCCAGAGTGCCGGCTTAAGCCCCACAGTGGCTAGGGCTCTCACTGGGAGCCTCAGCCGGTACCAGACGAACCTGAAGGTCCTTTTAAGTGTGAGTCGGCAAGACCCCACCATCCTTCACGGAGAATTAAAGGAGAAAGTTGCAAAGTCAGCACCTAGCAGTTAGACATTTTACTGCTACTTTGCAGTTTGAATTTACCAGTCGCTCCACAGTAAAAAGATGAGGCTTTCTGCTCCTATAAAGATTTGTTGTTGTTATATGCCATGGAGTCGGTTCCGACTCATAGCGACCCTGTACAGGGTTTCCGAGGCTGTAAATCTTTACAGGCGCAGAAAGCCTTATATTTCTCCCGCGGAACAGCTGGTAGTTTCGAATTGCTGGCCTTGTGGTTCACAGATTCGTAACCAGCCTCGGAAACCTTATAGAGAGGATCGCTGTGAGCCAGAAACGACTCTGGCACACCACCACCACCAGTGTGGCGCTGTAAGATAATACTGGACTGCGAACCACAAAGTCAATGGTTCAAACCCACCAGCTGATCCATGGAAACCTGTGGGGGGGAGTGGTGTTGCAATGAGTCAGAAACAACTTGACAGCACTTAACAACAACAACATGAGCAGTTGTTAGAGTGCTCAGATACTAATCTAAGGCTTGGCAGTTGGAGACCACCAGATCCTCCACTGGAGAAAGATTGTTATTGTTAGGTGCCTTGAGTGGATTCCAAATCATAGCAATCCAAGCAGGGGGCAGTTCTACTCTGTTCTGTAGTATATGAATTTCTTTTACTTTGGCATGCTTAAAGGTTTTGATTGGGAAAGGTCTAGCATTATCTTTGTTTTCTGTTTTATTGCTAGTACCTGCAACCTCCCCACTATTTCCTATTAATTAAAACTGAAAAGAGGGGGCACACAGAAAGGGAATTAAGTTCTCATTTTTAATTGTTGTTAGGTGCCGTCTGTCGATTCCAACTTATAGCGAGTCTATATAGGGTTTCCGAGGCTTTAAATCTTTTCAGGAGCAGTAGGCCTCATCTTTTTCCCATGGAGCAACTGGTAGGCTTGAACTGCAAACCTTGTGGTTCACAGTTCAGTGCTTATCATATGGAGCCACAGCGCTCCTATGTTCCTATGGTGGTGGTGGTTTCCGTGGAGACAGTTCTGACTCATAGTGAGCCTGAATAGCGTTTCTAAGAATGCAAATCTTTATGGAAGTAGAAAGCCTCATCTTTATCCCACAGAGCGGCTGATAGTTTTGAACTGCTGACCTTGAGGTTAGCAGCTCAACCCTTAACTATTACGCTACCAGAGCGCCTTCCATATTACTATAGTTAGAAGTAAAGTCTGGATTGTTGTTGTTGTTAAGTGCCTTCAAGTCTGTTCCTACTCATACAGACTCTCTATAGGACTTCCAAGGAGTGACTGGTAGGTTTGAACCACCAACCTTGCTGTACAAACTGACCTTGTGGTCAAGTGCTTATCCTATAGCATCACAGTAGGACTCCAAAGTCTCTATACTGGTAGGTATATGCACAATATATTGGAATATGGAGACCACCAGAAGAAAAGACTGGAAAAATGAAGACCAAAAATTTCTGGAGAGGGAGTGAGTCCTGGTGTGGCGCTGTGGACTAATGCGCTAATGCGCTGGACTGCAAAGTCATTTGAACCACAAGGTCGATGGTTCACCAGTCACTCCTTGGAAACCCTATACAGGGTCGCTATGGGTCGGCACTGACTTGACGGCACTTAACAACAACAATTTCTGGAGAGAGGGACAGGGGAATGGATCAGGGAACTTTTTTCTTTCTTTCTTTCTTTCTTTTCATTCTAAGTCCTTCTAAGTGCGGTGCTGTAGGTTAAGCACTGGATGTATGGCTGGTTTGAACCGCAAGGTCGGTGGTTCAAGCTCACCAGCTACTTCTCAGAAACCCTATACAGGGACTCTATGAGTCGGAACCAACTCGATGGCATGTAATAACAAGTTATATAAGGAAACCTGGTGTGGCAGTGTAGGATAAGCACTGGACTGCTAAGTGCAAGGCTGGCAGTTCAAACCCACAAGCCTCAACTTGGAAACTTTTTTATGCTGTAGGTAAGTGTCTTTGAGTCGGTTCCGACTCATAGCGACCCTGTATAGGGTTCCCAAGGCTTTAACTCTTTGGAGGAACAGAAAGCCTCCTCTTTCTCCCACGGAGCAGGTGACAGGCTCTAACCACAAACCTTGCAGTTCGGTGCTTATTGTATGGACCCACCATGTTCCCAGTACATTTTCATAGGTGACGGTAGCGTAGTGGTTACGAATTGGGCTGCGAACCTTAAGGTCAACGGTTCGAAACTACCAGCCGCTCCGCGGGAGAAAGATGAGGCTTTCTACTCCC